TGTCTCACAAACAGTCATGGATTAAGTGACCAAATTATTATATTTTGTTGAAGGGATTATTACCCGCAGAAAAGTGATCCACCAATAACAACCGGATTCTTACTTACTGCTGGTAAACAGAAGTGCGTGAATTAAGGAAATTTACTCAACATTTCACCCTGCCCAGGAATTGAACCCAGGTCCTCTCACCTGCGAGGAGAGTGTTCTAACCACTGAGCTACAGGACTTCCGATTGTTACAGGACTTATTATTGTCTTCATTGTGATTCAGGCACCAAAGACACTCACCAGACCCCACCACAGAGCATCTGCGTAGGTATCAAACTCTTTGTTATCGTCTTTCTCTGCAAGATACACCAGGAACGAGGTGAGGATCAGGCACAGGAAGCCAATGTACCAGGCAGTGATGAGCTCCTGCGTGAAAGGAGAGAGAGAGTGAACAGGCGAGCGCAGAAAGTGAAGGAGGGAATCCACCTCCTTGCTCCTCCATCCCACAGTCACTTCACCTCGCTCCCTCCCTTGTCTCCTTCAAGGCAAGTCTCAAGACCCACCGCTTCGACCGTAACTTTGGGCACCCTCCTAATACCAACCCTCAGCTCGGGTCCTATAATAATAATAATAATCCTTGCATTTTATATAGCGCTTTTCAAGTCGGGAGGACGTCCCAAAGCGCTTCACAGAACACACTGTAAAGTGAATTGACTGTATATTTGTGGGCGAACGCGGCAGCCAATTGCGCACAGCAATGTCCCCCAAACAGTCGTAGATTGAAAATGACCAATTTATTATTGTTTTTGGTTTTGGAGGGATTATTATTAGGCTCTGTGTGGAGTAAGGAAACTTGCCCAAGGTTTCGCTCTGCCTGGAATTTAACTCAGGTCTGAGCTACAGGACTCTCCCTATAACCCCTCAAACCCCACTCTCCCTGCCTGTACCCACCTCCCCTTGCCTGTACCTCCCCCTGCCCCGCGGATTACCTTGCTGTGAGCGTACACCACGGACCCCAGTAGTTTCCAGGTGCCGCCACGTCGGTCCATGCGGATCATCCGTAAAATCTGTAGAAATCGCAAACTCCTCAGAGCGGATGTGGCGAACACATTGCCCTGAGTGCCGGCCGCCAGCACCGCGATGGAAGCAGTCAGGACCATGACGTCTGCACAAACACACAACAAGCCGTCAGCTCGCACGTACACAGCACACACGCGGGCAACACACAGGATATGCACAGGTACCATATACACAACACACATGTACAGGCATCGCCTGGCTAACACAAGAACAACTGACATTTACATAGCGCCCTTCACGTCAGGGTGACGTCTCAAGGCGCTGGACAGTGAAGGGTTTGCAGCGGAGCTGAGGGTTGAGGTCAAGAGGAGTAGACGGTGGGGGTGGAAAGATGACTAAAGGCGCGGTCGAAGAGGAAAGTCTTGAGATGGTAACACAATCTTTAGAAAATTAAAGATTAGTTAAGAACAGGAACAGGTCATCAGATCCATCACCTTTATTTTGATTATAGCCCTCCAATCCCATCCTCACCACCCCTGCTCAATCCTCTCTCCCTCCTCTCTCCTTCTCACTCTTCTCTCACCTCTCACTCCTCTCTCACATCTGTTTTTCTCACTCCTCTCTCTTCCCCTCTACCTTCTCTCTCACTCCCCCTCTCTCTCTTCTCTCACTCCCTCTCCCTCCTCTGTCCCTCACTACATCCTCTCACTCTCTCCTCCTTACTCCTCTCACTCTTGCACTCCTCTCACTATTGCTCCCCCTCACTATCGCTCCCCCTCACCCTCTCATTCTCTCCTTCTCACTCTCTCCCTCCCCCTCACCCTCTCCCTTTCACCCCTCTCACTATCTCTCCCACTCACTCCTCTCACTATCTCTCCCTCTCACTAACTCCCTCAATAACAACAACGAATGACATTTACACAGTCGGGAGGACGTCCCAAGGTGCTGGTCGGAGAGGTGACATGCTCACGCACCGATCACACAGAACGGTTTCCGTGCAAACTTCAGCCGCCCGCGCCATCCCCGGTACCGGCAGCAACAGCCGGCCGACCAGATCCGCACCAGGTACTCCACCCCGAACACCACGATAGTCACAATCTCCTGCAGGGGTTGGGGGGGGGAGAAGAAAGGGAGTGAGGCAGGGAGAGAGGGCGCGAGGCGGGGAAAGAGGGCACGAGGCGGGAAGAGAGGGTGCGAGGCGGGAAGAGAGGGCGCGAGGCAGGGAAAGACAGGGAGAAAAAGAGTGAGACAGGAAGCAGTGTTACAAGGCTGTGGATGCTGAATCCATGAACATTTTCAAGATTGTTTGTCAGGTCATCAAGGGATATGGGGCAAAGGCGGGTAATTGGAGTTGAGGTACAGATCAGTCAGGATTTTATAGAATGGCGGAACAAGCTCGAGGGGCTCAATAGCCTTCTTCTGTTCTTAGGCTCCTACACATTCAGCACCAACACCTGTCCCATTGCGGCCAACAATAGCTGTAAATGGGTCTGTTACACACTGAGCATCAGCAGGAAATTGAACACTGTGAGGGGGACAGAGAGAGACACCAGAGTCATCACATCGTCCCACAAACAGGCAGCGAGTGAGGGACCGATAGTATCTGGGGGATTGTTGGCCAGGACACCAGGAGAAACTCTCTTCTCTTTTTTTATATTTCACATAACAATAATCCTTGCATTCGATATAGCGCCTGATCACATCTCAAAGCATTTCACAGAATATACATTGAGGGTGTGTACATTGAGTGACCAATTTTTTTTGGGGGGTGGGGTTATTACACCTGAACAGGCTCAGAAGGAACTGTGGTTTAACGCCGCAACTGAAGGACAGCACCTCCAACAATGCAGCGCTGCCCCAGCACTGCACTGGAGTGTTAAACCTGGACTGTGAGCAAACAGTTCCTGACAACAACAACTTGCATTTAGTCCCGCACGGGGCAGGGTGAGAGGTGCCACTTACCAGGATGTAGAGGGCTCCCTCGGAGCTCTTCTCATACTGTTTGATGGTGGAGAAGACAGAGAGCACCAGGCAGGAGAACACCAGCAAAAACCTGGGGACAAAGCACGAGAGTGAGAACAGTCTGTGATGCCCCCCCCCCCACCATTGTGACCTGGAGGAACAGAGGGAGAGTGAAAAACATCATAATAATATTAATCCTTGCATTTGGTATAGCACCTTATCACGTCTTTAAGACGTCTCAAAGCTCTTCACAGACTATACTGTAACGTGAATTCACTGTGTATTTTGTTAGCGAAATGCAACAACCAATTGAACCCAGGAGTGTCCCACAAACAACCATGGATTGAGTAACCAAATTATTATTATTATTTTTGAAGGAATTACTACCCCCGGAAAAATGATCCGCCAATCAACTATCAATATCACCCCCACACCAGGTCCTCACACACCCTCCATCAGTGGGGAGTCTGCATAGTGAACGGGGGTTTAATTACTGTAACAAAAGCCAAAGCTTTTCAATTTCCTGCAAGATATAACCCATCAGTGCCAGACTAGGACAGCTGATGGCAGGGAGATTGGGGCGGGTAAAGAATGGAACTGCTTTATTCATCGTTTGACCTCCTCTGGAGACTAGCGATGCTAGTCAGTGAGTTTGCTATTTATATGGACTCCAGGCAGCAGGGCTGAGTAAGAGACGGAGAGAGCATCCTGACTGACTGACACACGTACCAGGTTGCTTTACTCTGTGCAGCTGTCAGGGGTGTGAGTGACAGACACACAGACAGCGTGAGGACTGGTGCCAGCCTTGCTCAACACAAGCTGCTCTCACTGGGAACTGAGGTTTCCTTCCTGATAGGGAGAGACAGGCTGCTGCCGTCTCCACGTTTACACCTACTCACTGCTAGGTTAACAGAGGAGTGTGGAGCAAGGAAACTTGCCTTAGGTTTCGCCCTGCCCAGGAATTGAACCCAGGTTCTCTCGCTTGCGAGGTGAGGGCTCTAACCACTGAGCTACAGGGACTCCTTTACCCCCAGCCTCTGGTGATCTAGCAATCAGCAAGAAGACAATTCGGTGCAGTGTTGAGGTTGCGGCCCACAGTGAGCGGGGACTGTGAGCGAGCGGTTGGGGCGCTTCAGGAGTTGCTGTGAATGATTGAGAATGCTTGTGCTTCTCTGTATTATTATCTGTGAGCACAGGAAAGCCAGCTCCTCACAGGCTCATTATCCACCATCCACACATCTACTTGCAACCTCTCAGCCACAAACCAGCTCCTGCTGCCAGTGACAGGGAGAGAGGTCGGCTGCACTGGGAGCATCATCATCACTGTAGCCTGTCTGTCCTGCCTCCAATTCCTTCTCACGGCACCATTTATTCTGTGATTAAACCTGTGATGGACATGCACCAAGCTTGCCCAGCTCTGAGTACAGAGTACTTCATAGGTTCACAATGTATAATAATTATAATCCTTGCATTCGATATAGCGCCTTATCACATTTTTGAGACGTTTCAAAGCGCTTCACAGAATATACTCTAAAGTGAGTTGACTACATATTTTGTGAGCGAAACACAGTAGCCACTTTCACACAGCAGTGATTCACAAACTGTCATAAAATCATAGAATATTACACCAAAGGAGGCCATTCGGCTCATTGTGTCTGTGCCACCAATCAACTAACAACCAGTTCCTACTTACTGTTAGGTAATAATAATAATCCTTGCATTTGATATAGCGCTTTTCACGTCGGGAGGACGTCCCAAAGCGCTTCACAGAACACACTGTAAAGTGAATTGACTATATTTGTGGGCGAACGCGGCAGCCAATTGCGCACAGCAATGTCCCACAAAGTCGTAGATTGAAAATGACCAATTTATTATTGTTTTGGGTTTTGGAGGGATTATTATTAGGCTCTGTGTGGAGTAAGGAAACTTGCCCAAGGTTTCGCCCTCTGCCTGGGATTGAACTCAGGTCTCTCACTTGCAAAGCGAGTGCTCTAACCACTGAGCTACAGGACTCCACGAATGTTAAGTGAATAGACTGTACATCTGTGGGCGAACGCGGCAGCCAATTGCGCAAAGCAATGTCCCACAAACAGTTGTGGATTGAAAATGAACAATTTATTATTGTTTTTTTTCTTGATGGATTATTATCAGGGTTGTTGATGTAAGGAAACTTGCCCATCATCATCATCGTTTCTGTGCCGCCATTCAACTAACAACCGGTTCCTACTTACTGCTAGGTAAATAGAGGCGTGTGAAGTAAGGAAACTCGCCAACGTTTTGCCCTACTGGGAATCGAACCCACGTCCTCTCGCTTGCAAGGCAAGTGCTCTAACCACTGAGCTGGAGGACACCAATAAGGAATTACTTACTGTGTTCCGCAGATTAATCAGCTGTAACTCCAACAACAACAACAAGATTCCATTTATAGAGCGCCTTTCACGTCGGGAGGACATCCCAAGGCGCTGGACAGTTGGGTCAGGACCCGAGCAGTGGGGGAAATGGTAAGGGTGAGGGGAGGGAGGGAGCGAGGAGGGGGGATGGTCAGGGTGAGGGGAGGGAAGGGAGGGAGCGAGGAGGGGTGATGGTCAGGGTGAGGGGAGGGAAGGGAGGGAGCGAGGAGGGGGTAGAGAGTCGAGAGCGGAGCTGAAGACACGGTCAAAGAGAAAGGTCTTGAGACCGGCCTTGAAGGAGGAAAGGGAGGAAGCGGCGAAGGCACTGGGGATGGAGTTCCAGAGCCTGGGGGCTGAGAGGCTGAAGGCCACCGATGGTAGGGCGGTTGGGGCGGGGGATGTGGAGCAGACCGGAGCCAGAGGAACGGAGGGTACGGGCAGGTAAGTAGGGGGATAGTAGGTCAGAGAGGTAGGAGGGAGCGAGGCCGTGAATGGCCTTGTAGGTGAGGATGAGGATCTTGAACTCAATTCTCTGGGGGATGGGGAGCCAGTGGAGGCGAGCGAGGGCGAGGGGGAGGGCGAGGGTGGGAGTGATGTGGTCCCGAAGCCTGGTGCGGGACAGTACACGAGCTGCAGAGTTCTGAATGACCTGCAGTGTGGAGGGAGGGCCGGGAAGGCCGGCAAGGAGAGAGTTCCCATAGTCCAGCCTTGAGATGATAAAGGCGTGGACTAGAGTTTCAGCCGCGTGAGGGGTGAGGTAGTGCCGTAGTCTGGCCATGTTCCGGAGGTGATGGAAGGCGGTGCCGGTTGTGGCGCAGATATGAGGGAGAAAGGACAGCTCAGGGTCGAACAGAACCCCGAGGTTCCTGATGGCTTTGAGAGGTGGAGAGTGCGGCCTTGGATGCTGATGCTGTCAGCGCCTGAGGTGCGGAGGCGCTGACGTGAGCCAATCAGGAGGGCCTCAGTTTTTCGCACGTTGAGCTGAAGAAAGTTATCTCTCGTCCAGGACTCGATGTTGGACAGACAGCTGTCAGGACATCGGGGGTCGTGGAGTTGAGGGTAGAGGAGGAAAGGTAGAGTTGGGTGTCATCCACATACATGTGGAAGTTAACCCCATGTCTGCGGATGATGTCACCACAGGGGGAGCATATAGAGGGTGAAGAGGAGGGGACCGAGGACAGAGACCTGAGGGACTCCGCATGAGACAGTGCGGGGGGTGGAGGAGAAGCCATTTGTGGAGACAAAGTGAAGACGGTAGGAGAGGTACGACCTAAACCATTCAAGGACAGAGCCTTGAAGGTTGAGGTGGGAGGACAAGCGATGGAGGAGGATAGCGTGGTCGACCGTATCGAATGCTGCCGATAGGTCGAGGAGGACGAGGAGGCAGAGGGAGCCATGGTCTCAGATGGTCAGGATGTCATTGGTGACCTTGACCAGGGCAGTTTCTGTGCTATGGGCATCACGGAAACCCGACTGAAGGGGTTCGAATAATGAATGGGTGGAGAGGAAAGAGCGCAGTTGGGAGACGACAACTCGTTCCAGGACCTTGGACAGGAAGGGGAGGTTGGAGGTGGACCGGTAGCTTGATAGCTGCGACGCATCAAGGGAGGGTTTTTTTAAGGTGGGAGTGATGGTGGCAGTTTTTAAGGGAATGGGGACAGAGCCAGAGGAGAGGGACAGGTTGATGATGTCTGTGATATGTGGGGCAAGGAGGTGGAGCTGGGAGATAAGGAGTGGAGTGGGGATGGGGTCAAGGGAGCAGGTGGTGGGTTTCAGGGAGAGGATGAGTTTGGTGACAGAGGGTGGGGAAACGGGTACGAAAGTGTGTTGGGGAGGATGTGACAGTGACAGGAAAGCAAAGAACATCGGCAATTAAGGTTTAATTGGATCAGGAGGGAACTGGCCGCAGCAGTCAGAGACTGGGTGTGATACCAAGCACCAGCCCCCTCCACCAGCATCCTGTCCCTGCTCAAGTATCCCTCGCTCTGCAATTCCAGGCTAACACTCAGGAGACCTGAGTAACGCTCTGATGCACCAGCTCCATTACTTCAACATGTTTGGAGAGGGTTAAGGGCAACACACAGAGAAACAGACACACACACTACACCCATCACACACTATCCACACACCACAGAGAGACATACTCACTCACACATAGAGAAACAGATTCACACAGAAACACTCACTGTAACACACACACCAAAACACACAGAGAAACAGTTTATTATACTTCACACCACAGCAGTCACTACACAGCAATTCCCTGTGAAGTGCTTTCAGTCGTTTCAGCACAATAGGCTGCGTATCACACGCAGAGATTATTATTATAATCATCACCGATGGAGCTTTAATTAAAGTGTTTTTTCTCTGTTGGAGCAAGCGAGCTTCTTGTGACATTGATGAGGGTCAAGTGATAAATTAGAAGCTGTTCCTTAATTGTTCTCTGAATGGCAGCTTCAGGCTATCAGAGTAACAGAATAAATCCAACCCAAATCTGCCTGAGGGATGAGCAGCAAAGCTACAGCTCTACAACAACAAGATTCCATTTATCCTCTCGCTTGTGAGTTGAGTGCTCTAACCACTGAGCTACAGGACTCTACAACTTGCATTTACATAGTGTTTCCCAATCCCCGCCACATGGGTTAGCGTCTCAGGGCAGTTAACAAGAGTGAGACTTGGCCCCACCCTCTAAACATGTCCCTCACTAACAGCCCCTCCCCCACCTCACTAAGAAGTGCTGAGGTTTCTGCAGCTCAAACTTGGGGTTAAATGTCTCATCAGAAAACCCTCCTCTGCAAGGAGTCCACTTCATTTCTTCCCCAAGAGTTGCCAGCAGCATGGACGCAACACAACTCCTGATATAAGGTTCAGTCCCACCCATCCAACAAGTAACATTCACTTACACAGAAAATAAACCTCTCGCAGCAGTCAGTCTACATAATGAGAATAATAAGAGAAATATTGTTCTGGAAGCAAAAGAAGTGACAATTGTTGGGTTGAATTTGGAGAAGGCGGGAAACATAAACCAGAAGAACCAGATAACACTGTCCCACCCAGCCCCCTGGCCCCTCACCAACCTCCACTGACACTTTGGGAAGGTCAGCACCAAGCAATTAAGCTGGATGGTGGTTTGGGTCAGGTTAAGGCTGAGGAGTGTAAGAGTTGGTGTTGGATTTTGGGCTGGGATAGGGTTTGAGAGTGTAAGGGTTGTTGGGAATTTTTTGGTCAGCCAGATGTACTGCTTGTCCAGCTAGGACCACCCTCCCCGTTAGGGCTTTGGCTGCAGGGTTAACAAGAGCTGAGTGGGAGGATTCCCTGAACCCAAATGAAAGGCAAAGTGGATCTGAAGTTGTCATTGTGCAACTCCATCAACACTTAACTGGCCTCAAGTTACAAATGGCACCTTCCCAGCAGAGCTCAGAGGTGTCCCTGTCCAATGGCTTCCAGGAGAGCAAAGCTGGCCACATGTTGGAGCGGGAGCCCAGGCAGACCACCAGAGCAGGCAGTATCAGGCTGCACTGCTAATGGAAGTGGTGAACCATTTCCACATGCTTCTGTTTACCAACAGTCAGTAGGAACCCGGTTGTTAGGCGACCGGAGGATCATGTTCTGAGGGTAATAATCTCTTCAAAAAAAAATACTAATAATAATTTGATCACTTCAAAGCACGACTGTTTTGGGGACGCTGCTGTGCGCAATTGGCTGCCGTGTGTTCCTACAAAATATACAACAACAAGATTACATTTGTATAGTGCCTTACACGTCGGGAGGACGTCCCAAGGCACTGGACATAGTACAGCATTTCAGACTCGAGCTGGGACTGAGGGAGGGGAGGGGGGGGCGATGGCATGGTTAAAGAGGAGGGTCTTGAGGCAGGACTTGAAGGAGGCTAAGGAGGGGGATGGAATTCCAGAGAGTGGCTGAAGGCTCTTCCGCCAATGGTGGGGTGGGTGGGTCGGGGGACGTGGAGCAGCCAAAGCTGGCTGAGCGGAGGGAATGGGCAATACAGTCAATTCCCTTTACATTATATTCTGTGAAGCACTTTGAGACGTCTCGGAGACGTGATAAGGAGCTGTATGAAATGCAAGGATTATTATTGTTACTCAAGTCATAGCCTCAATCCCTCCCCCACCCCACTGTTGCAGCATTTGTGGGCAGGTTTTGGAACACAAACTGTGATGGACACCAAAGGGTTCCTACAGGGAAGAGATTTCATTTGAGCATTAGCTCCTCCGCAACCCTTTCAACTAGAAAAATCCAGAGGAGCGTGAGAGAGGGAAAGGAAGAGAGAGGGATAGAGAGAGAGAAGAGCGGGGAAAAGGTAAAGGAAAACAAAAGGGAAGGGAGAGAGAGGGAGAGGAGCGGTACAGTTGAGCACTTGGCAGTGACTGAGTATCTGCTGGATTTTGGCTGCGGAATTCTCTCTCTGACCGTGACTGCAAGTTATGCCTTTCTCTCTCTCTCTCTCTCTCTCTCACTCGTCTCTCGCTCTGATCGATGTTACTGTATTATTTTGCTGACGCGATAATTTGATCCTCGATGTGGCTCAACCTCAACAATTTTATTTTTTACTTAAAAATTACATAAAACTGCAATTCACGAAATCAGAGTAGTCAACACACACACACAGACAGATACACACACACAGACAACACACACAGACAGACACACACCCACACACAGACACACACACACACAGAGACAGACACACACACACACACAGTCACACACACAGTCACACACCCACACATACACAGACACAGTCACACACACCGACACACACAGACAGTCACACAGACACACACACACAGACACACACACAGACAGTCACACAGACACAGTCACACACACCGACACACACACAGTCACACAGCCACACACACACACACACACACACACAGACACACACACCGACACACACACAGTCACACAGCCACACACACACACACACAGACACACAGACAGACACACACACACACAGTCACACACCCACACACAGACAGAGTCACACACACCGACACACACACAGTCACACAGCCACACACACACACACAGACACACACAGTCACACAGCCACACACACAGCACACACACACACAGACACACACAGACACACACACACAGACACACACACACAGACACTTACACATACGCGTGGTAAACGAAAGCCCAGCCGCGGGGTCTCTCCAACACGTTGTAGAGGAAGTTCTGCAGTTTGCGGTAGAAAGCGTTCCTCTTGGGGGCTCTGGCTGAGCGGGGCCTGCACAGGAGGCCGCCCCGGCCTGAGCCCTCGGGGCCCGCGGCGATCAGCAGCGCCCCGTCCCGGGAGCAGGCGGCCTCGGCCCCGTCCATCCCCACAAAACCCACCCTCAGCCTCCGCTCCCCGGCCCCGGCCTCCCCGCTGCTCGCTGTCTGCACCATCCCCGCGGCGCCCAGCCCAGCCCGAGGCCAGGCGGCCTGTCAGTGCCGGGTGTCAGACATATCCCTCCCGCCGCCGCCTCCAGTCAGCACCGCCCGCGCTCCCCTCAGCCACAGCCAGGAGCCGCTACTGCCGGCCCCGCCCTCACCCGGCCCGCCCCTCACGCCGCCCCGCCCCTCACGCCGCCCCGCCCCTCACTGCCCGCCCCGCCCCTCACTGCCGGCCCCGCCCCTCACTGCCCGCCCCGCCCCTCACTGCCCGCCCCGCCCCTCACTGCCGGCCCCGCCCCTCACGCCGGCCCCGCCCCTCACTGCCGCCCCGCCCCTCACCGCCGGCCCCGCCCCTCACTGCCCCGCCCCTCACCGCCGGCCCCGCCCCTCACCGCCGGCCCCGCCCCTCACTGCCCGCCCCTCACCGCCGGCCCCGCCCCTCACCGCCGGCCCCGCCCCTCACCGCCGGCCCCGCCCTCCCGCCCCCCTCACTGCCGGCCCCACCCCTCACCGCCGGCCCCGCCCCTCACTGCCCGCCCCTCACCGCCGGCCCCGCCCCTCACTGCCGGCCCCGCCCCTCACTGCCGGCCCCGCCCCTCACTGCCCGCCCCGCCCCTCACTGCCGGCCCCGCCCCTAACTGCCGGTCTCGCCTCTCACCCCGCCCCGCCCCTCACCGCCAGCCCCGCCCTCACCGCCGGCCCCGCCCCTCACAGCCGGCCCCGCCCTCACCCCCCGCCCCGCCCCTCACCGCCAGCCCCTCACCGCCGGCCCCGCCCCTCACTGCCCGCCCCGCCCCTCACTGCCGCCCCGCCCCTCACCGCCCGCCCCGCCCCTCACCGCCGGCCCCGCCCCTCACCGCCGGCCCCGCCCCTCACCGCCGGCCCCGCCCCTCACCGCCGGCCCCGCCCCTCACGCCGGCCCCGCCCCTCACCGCCGGCCCCGCCCCTCACCGCCGGCCCCGCCCCTCACCGCCGGCCCGCCCCTCACCGCCGGCCCCGCCCCTCACCGCCCGCCCCTCACTGCCGGCCCCGCCCCTCACCGCCGGCCCCGCCCCTCACCGCCGGCCCCCGCCCCTCACCGCCCGCCCCTCACTGCCCGCCCCGCCCCTCACCGCCGGCCCCGCCCCTCACCGCCCGCCCCTCACTGCCGGCCCCCCCCTCACCGCCGGCCCCGCCCCTCACTGCCCCGCCCCTCACCGCCGGCCCCGCCCCTCACTGCCGGCCCCGCCCCTCACTGCCGGCCCCGCCCCTCACTGCCCGCCCCGCCCCTCACTGCCGGCCCGCCCCTAACTGCCGGCCGCCCTCACCCCGCCCCGCCCCTCACCGCCCAGCCCCGCCCTCACCGCCGGCCCCGCCCCTCACAGCCGGCCCCGCCCCTCACCCCCCGCCCCGCCCCTCACCGCCAGCCCCTCACCGCCGGCCCCGCCCCTCACTGCCCGCCCCGCCCCTCACTGCCCGCCCCGCCCCTCACCGCCCGCCCCGCCCCTCACCGCCGGCCCCGCCCCTCACTGCCCGCCCCGCCCCTCACTGCCCGCCCCGCCCCTCACTGCCCGCCCCGCCCCTCACCGCCGGCCCCGCCCCTCACCGCCGCCCCGCCCCTCACGCCCGCCCCGCCCCTCACCGCCGGCCCCGCCCCTCACCGCCGCCCCGCCCCTCACTGCCGGCCCCGCCCCTCACTGCCGCCCTCACTGCCCGCCCCTCACCGCCGGCCCCGCCCCTCACCGCCGCCCCGCCCCTCACGCCGCCCCGCCCCTCACCGCCGGCCCCGCCCCTCACTGCCCGCCCGCCCCTCACTGCCCGCCCCGCCCCTCACCGCCGCCCCGCCCCTCACCGCCCGCCCCGCCCCTCACCGCCCGCCCCTCACCGCCGGCCCCGCCCCTCACCGCCGGCCCCGCCCCTCACCGCCGCCCCGCCCCTCACGCCCGCCCCTCACCGCGCCCGCCCCTCACGCCGGCCCCGCCCCTCACCGCCGCCCCGCCCCTCACCGCCGGCCCCCCGCCCCTCACCGCCGCCCCGCCCCTCACTGCCCGCCCCGCCCCTCACTGCCGCCCCGCCCCTCACCGCCCGCCCCTCACCGCCCGCCCCGCCCCTCACCGCCCGCCCCTCACGCCGCCCCGCCCCTCACCGCCCGCCCCTCACGCCCGCCCCGCCCCTCACGCCCGCCCCTCACCGCCCGCCCCGCCCCTCACTGCCGGCCCTGCCCCTGATCGCCGGTCCCACCCCTCACCGCCAGCCCCGCCCCTCACTACTGGCCCCACCCCGTCTCGCACTCTGCCCGCCCTGCCCCTCAGTGCCCGCCCCGCCCCGTACTCTGTCCGCCCCTCACTGCCCGCCCTGCCCTGCTCTCTGCCCGCCCTGCCCCTCAGTGCCCGCCCCGCCCCGTGCTCTGCCTTTCTCCCAGCCCCTCTCCCTGCTCCCACTCATCCACTCTCCGCCTCCCTTCCCTAACTTCCCCAACTCCCCCTCCCCAACCTTCCCTTCCCCACCCTCCCCCTCCCCTAACTGCCCTTCCCTCCCTCTCCCCCTTAATTTAGATTTTTTTAAGAATTATAATTATCTTCGAATTGATCATAATAATTAACAATAATAATCCTCACATTCGGTTACAGTGACTTTCACATCAGGACCTGGGATCCTGGTTTACTATCTGGATGTGGAGATTGTGGGAGTAAAGGGAGGAGGATGTGCAATGCTGAGATGAACCAGGAGTTCAGATGTGGTTCATCCTGGGCTAAACATGGACCTGAGGAAGATCTTCATCCAATGTGAAAGGCAACGTTTCGCCCACAAAATATACAGTCCATTCACTTTACAATATATTCTGTGAAGTGCTTTGAGACGTCTCGAAGATGTGATGAGGAGCCATATCAAATGTAATTTGCTGTTGTTGTTGATGAGGCTCTGTATCAAATGCAAGGATTATTATTATTATTATTATGTTCATGCAAATTATTACAGGATTTTCATAAATCATTCTGTTGTATATCTGGATTTCAGAAAAGCTATCGATACAGTTCCTCATGAGAGGCTGGTACTGAAAACAAAGAAAGCGGGAATCAGAAAAACTGTCTTGCAATGGATGGTAATTGGCTGAGGGATAGAATCCAGAAGGTGGTGGTACAGGGAATGGCATCGGCTGGGAGAATGGTACCAGTGGAGTTCCACAGGGGGCTGTTTTGGGACCTCTTTTATTTCACATCTTCAAAATGATCTGGAGCTGAGAGTCACAGTGGCTAAATATGCAGATAACCCAAATTAATGAAGACCTCAGTGGCTGTGAATGAAGGCAAACCATATGCTGGGCTGTACTGAGTATTGAGCTGAAATAGTGGGGTAATCCTACCGCTTAATAATCACTGGTACAGCCGCACTCGCAAAACTGTGCAGTTCTGGTCACTGCAACGTAAAAAGGATATTGCAGCGATTGAGAGGATACAGAGGAGGACAACTAGAATATATATTGAGAGATGGAGGGACTGGACTATGAGGAGCAATAAACGTGCTTGTACAGTTCACTTTCCAAAAGCCTGGGTTACAAGCGACATTTATATAATTTGTCCCAGGAGGAATGCTTCATGTTTGGGTTTCTTTTCTGAGAGTGAAATAAGTGGCGTTTCCTGCCCAGGCTCAGCTGGCGTGTTAAAATATTCATAGCCTGCTCACCTCCCCGCCAGGAGCTCTCTGTACTCACACCGAGCCCCAGCACATCGAGGACTTCCTCCTCAGATTGGAGAGCTCGCACACAGAGAGACGCAGAGCAAAACAGCAGCAACGTTAATAATGCAGCATATTCACCAAGAAGCAACTGGAGAGAAAACATTGCATCACACAGCAGCATCACTCTGTCTCAATCAGCTGTGGTTTCTCAGGCTGCGGAGGTGTGTCTGGCTCTGGGCTGTGTCTGTATGTGTCTGTGTGTCTGGGTGGATGTGTCTGTGTGAGTGTGTGTCTGACTCTGGGCTGAATGGCTACGCGATACGCTAACAATTATCTGATTACTTTCAACATTTAGAGTTCGTCTTTTATTGAATGTCTTGTGCTTGTGTCCAATCATTGTCCATCAGTAGCTCAGTGGTTAGAGCACTCGCTTTGCAAGTGAGAGACCTGAGTTCAATTCCAGGCAGAGGGCGAAACCTTGGGCAAGTTTCCTTACTCCACACAGAGCCTAATAATAATCCCTCCAAAACCCAAAACAATAATAAATTGGTCATTTTCAATCTACGACTGTTTGTGGGACATTGCTGTGCGCAATTGGCTGCCGCGTTCGCCCACAAATATACAGTCAATTCACTTTACAGTGTGTTCTGTGAAGCGCTTTGGGACGTCCTCCCGACGTGAAAAGCGCTATATCAAATGCAAGGATTATTATTATTATTATTATTATCAGATCACAAAGCCACTCTGGGCACAGTGGGCAGTCAGTTCACTTTCTTTTCAGGACGAATTACATAGAATTACATAGATTATACAGCACAGAAACAGGCCAATCAACCGAACTGGTCTAAGCTGGTGTTTATGCTCCACATGAGCCTCCTCCTGCCCTTCCTCAACTAACCGTATCAGCAGAACCTTCGATTCCTGTCTCCCTCGCCCTAACCCTAACCCTAATCTAGCTTCTGCTTAAAAGCATCTATGCTATTTGACATAACTCCTCTTGTGGTAGCAAGTTCCACATTCCCACCACTCTCTGTGTGAAGAAATTTCTTCTGACTTCCCTGTTTGATTTATTGGTGACTATTTTATATTTATGGCCCCTGGTTTTGGTCTATTATTATTATTATCTCTATGTCTACCCTATCAAAACCTTTCATCATTTTAAAGAACTCTATTAGGTCACCCCCTCACCCTTCTTTCAAAAGAAGAATCCAAGCTTGTTCAACCTTTCCTGATAGGTATAGCCTTGTAGTTCCAATATCATCCTTGTAAATCTCCTTTGCAGCTTCTCCTGTGCCTCCATAACCTTGCTATAATTTGGGGACCAGAATTGTACACAGTACTCCAAGTGTGGTCTA